AAAGAGGGAGCGAGCTAAAAATAGGCTGTGACCGTGTCATTACAGCCTCGTAAGGGCACGGGCAGGGAGAGGCTGAATTAACATCTCATGGTCAAACTGCAATCGGGTGCCCCCCGACTTGCCAGCGCTTGCTTTGGTGCCTTCAACCATGTACATTTTTAATATACAGAAATCACATGCATTCTAAACATACAGAAAAATGCATTATTTATAGCTAATAAATAATAGATTGTTTATACAAGCAAAAAGAAAAACAATTGTAGGCAAGTGTAACAAATTCCCCACCCTCCAACCCCGCACCCATCCCCGCCTTCGTCCTGCGCGGGCAGAGCGATTTCAAGCCCCGAGCCTCGGCACAGATTTCTGCCACTATGAAATGCAGGACTAATGTTATCTGGCAGCGGCAGAAGGCTCCTCTCCCGGGGCCGGCGGGGAAGGGGGACCGCTGGGGCTGGCAGTGCCCAGGCCAACGCACCCACACCCCCCTACACTTTTTCCTCCCGGCGCCAGGACCCGGAGGATGTTTTCTCCCAGGAGATGGAGCCGTGCTGGAAGAATATGAGCTAGAGGTGGAAGGGGGTCGTGGAGTTGGCCGTAACTGTCCTCCCGCCTTCCCCAGCTGGTCCAGAGCTCTGCAATACAGTGGTGGGAGTCCAGGGCTTCACCCTGCTCGTGGTCTGTTATTATTATTCCAGGGAAACAATAAATTATAATTTCCACCCACCCCCCCAAGAGGCAACCGAAGGGAAATCGTGATTCCGAACAATTCATAATTCAGCTAAACCTGAAAGGAATTTAAGGGACAAAGAATAGGCATTTCTCAAGCCGAAGAGCTTCCCCCGGCCGAATTTCAAGGGCCCGCAGTGAACAATGGGAGTGTCAGAGGTGCTCAAAAAGAAAAAAAAAGTTCAAGAATCTTTACAATAAAAAGTGTTAGGCAACACAGAGGTCAGAGCCAGCTCCTCCTATAATAAATAGCACGACTATCCTACATTAACTATAGGAGACATTTTAATGCAGTGCCTCGGCTTCGTGCTAATTATACTTTTTCACCATATTTTGAACCTAAGAAAGAATGTCATCAGTTAATTATAACAGATGAGGGAGTGTGAAGACTTCCTCAATAAATAATGCCTTGATATCTCATATCCAACAAGCTGCGTGCACTGCTCTGAAGGTGCCCAGAAATATGTCCTCTCAGGAAATATATCAAGAAATGATGGTCCCATAAGCTGGCTTTGTTTCCAAGCCTTGATTTTCGGCCCAATAATTAAGCGATTTTTATGGATCGGGGAGAGTAAAGGTCGTGGGACTGCTGGAACCGTGCCAGAGAGTCAATGTTTAAAAATAAATAAATTCCCAAATCAAAATGAGATACAAAAGACCTCAGCAAATTCCCCCCACGGCCGCACACGCGAACACACAGAAGCGATTTGGTTTCTGGACCCAGGTCCCATCCTTCCTTGGCTCCCGACATCTCCACAGGAGTCTGGCGTGCACAGAAAAAGCCTGGTTTTAATGAAAACAGGCCACCGATGCCAGCGTGCCACCGGGAGCCAGCCACCGCCAGCCACCTGCCCCAGGCAGATGCCAGCGTGCCACCGGGAGCCAGCCACCGCCAGCCACCTGCCCCGAGGAGGAGGGACCCCGTCCCCCTGCTGCCGTGCCACCCTGGGCACA